TTTTGATTGTCTCCTCCTTATCATTAAGTCACCAACTTCTTTAACCTTTTAGCATTGAACAGACTTTAGCTCCTATACACGACCTCACGACTTTATGGATATTTGAGTTATCGTTAACTATTATTTCAAAAATAATTATTTAAAAATGAAATTTGATATTAACAAAAAAAAAAAAGAATTTGAAAACTCAAATCCACTTACATTGTGCACGCTAGATGCGGTCCTTTAGGAATACATGAGTCAGCATTTTTCTTGGAAGGTGTCATCATGTAATTGGCACGTGAACATACTAACAATCGCATGTGGCATCAACATGGATCCTAGTTTTATGCAAGGGGAATAGTAAAAGAGTTGACCTTTTACCAAGTCATAATAATACTCCGCATCTTTCCTTATTATTAACATTTTTTTTCCTCAACTATATAGTCCTATTTCTTTATTGAAAATATTTTGTTTTGTTCATTTATTAATATATTCTTATCTAATTTACAGGTATTAGGAAAGTTTTTGGCAAAAATTGCTTTTTCAATAACATTAAATAAATTTTTTTTTTAATCCGTGTGAAAAACAAAACAAAACTATATAAATGGGATGGAGGAAGTACACGAAAAGATTCAAAAAAAGTGATCTTGCTACAACCATTATTTGCACAAAATACGCAAGGAAATATTATAAGTAGCGCAATTTTCTTTGTATACGGTTTTAAGTCGATCCCTTTTTCGAGAAAACCGTAATTTTTATTTTCAATCACAGCTGATGTGAGGAGAAAAAAATTGAAAGATTCTCCAACTTGCATAATTAACTCGAGTGTAACTAGTCATTGATTGTGTTTGTTGATCAATTAAGGGAACAAATTATACCTCACAAGAATTTTTAACTACAAATTAAACAATGCTTTGTACCAGAAAATGAGTTTTCTTTTACGGTTGTTCCATATATTTCGGCTTTTGCTCAACTGAATGTTCAGATGAAGCTTCAGCTTATGTTATATAAGAAAAAAACGGAAATTCTTGCATTTTGCCCTCGTGCTAGATCCATATTTCGTTTCTCAAAAGACTTCAACTGAAACGGGCAAAAAATAGGCCAATTCGGCAGCTTATTGTTCAATCGTTTGACAATTATATTATAAGCTAGTAGAATTCGAAGAAATTTCAACAATTTATAAGTTACCACACTCGATTCAAACCTTCTAAGTACTAAAAGTGCGTTATAAAGCAATTCAAACGATTCAATTGATGAAATGGTAACATTATCAAAGATCAAATACGAGAATAATAAAGCCATGGCTCTTGTTGTTATTGCTAATAATACTTCATCATTTTGATAGTGCAGTGATCACAATATACAATATGAACCGTGTAAGACTATGGAGTCGATGAGGGGCAAGTGGTGAGATTAGTGGTCAGAGTGGTGGAGCCAGGGCTTGAGCCTGAGTCAACACTTGCATCGCAGAAGCCGCGTAGAATGTCGCCTTCTTCGGCCGTGATGCCTAGGGATCCAAGCATCGAAGGCCAGCATTGGTGCTCGATTATTCGTATAGCATCACAACATCTCGGCCCCAGATGTGTCTCTCCATTGATAAAGAACAGCACCACTTCTCCACTGCAAGATTGGAGTTCAAACATCGCATCCCAACAAGAAGACGATCCTTCTTCGTCCAATTTAAGACGCGCTAAAAGGGTTGACGTCGACTCAAGTTTACGTGCTCGTGCCAGGGTCGATACCAACAGCAAAGTCAGCATAACTGCAAGGAGATTGGAAGTACAAGCCATAGTCGATAATTTTCCTAGTTTCGAATTGAGAGATTTTTGTGCTTGTGAGATATTGAACGAGACTAGGATACATACATATATATAGGAGAGGAAGGCTTGTAAAATTTATGAACATGGAAATTGAATGGACATATGGAGTTAAGGAGGTAGAAAAACTGATAAGCTGGGAAAATGAAGAGATGCCGAAAAATTTTATCAATTTTAACCCAAAGTTGTTCAATTAAAACAAATAAATATTCAATTAATTCCGCTTTTAAGTACTTAAGAAGTGTTTTTAGGTTCGTTTTTACGTAAAGCCATATTATGTGTCTAAGTCTTTTATGATGGAGTAATTGTCTTTAAAAGAATTCTTATATGGGGATTGGATATGGAAGTTCAAACATTGGACAACGCGAGAAGAGTTAATCAATCATGTTCTTTGTAATGTTACGGCTCACACGATGAAATAATATGTTAAATTTGATGAATTAGATAACAAAAATATTTAAATATCATGTAGCAAATGCTTGACATTATTGGGATAAGGTGGCATAATTCGGGATCTCTCGAGTCGACTAATCTAATCTGGACTAGTGATGATTTGAACATTATTGTACTATGTGACATGTAGTGCAAGTGCAACATTAGTAGCATACATCATAGGGTTGCCTTCTGTCTTCTTTTTCTTTCGACTTCCATACATGGTATGGGAGTGGGCTCTTTGTCATTCTCAAGTTTTTGTTTAATAAAATATAAGGGTATAATCATCATTTTTAAGAAAAAATAACTTGTCATTGGCCCCATTTCGTACCTTTTCATAAGTTGGAAATGTGGGTGCCACATAGAAAATTGAGACCCATCATCACATTAGACAAAGATTGTAGAGTTATGTTATTTGTACAGTTAGTTTGACAAATGATTATTCAAATCAAGGGTCAAATGAATGTCACACCATCATCTGTCAAAAAAGGTGTAAATATTTTCAGTTCAAGTAGTTTAACTAAAAATTGTAAACCCGAGCTAGAATTTTCCTAAAAATTAACTTGTCCTCATTTTGTCGAATAAATTTTGTTGCACCTCTCATTTAAGCGTATGATAATACGATCCACAGACATTATATGACAACACAATTCGTCCTCATAGGATCAACGGGCCATTCACGTTGAAATAAACCATACTGAGAAGTGTCAAGTTGAAGAGCTTTGGCAATAAAGCCTCATTAAGAATGTGACCAAGACACCTAGGCTAGACAAATGGGCTTCAAAACACTATTACAACCAACATTTAAGAAAGCTTTAAACTTAAAACTTTTCATAGTTTCATGATTTTACTTTAATTGGTATTACTTTTTAAAAGGTTAAACCCTAACCTTAAGGGTCCCCCACCACCCCTATCCTGAAGCATCGTAAGGGAGGTAAATCGCAGGTTATGCTTCCAAGGGTATAGGGTGGAAGGCTGCTTGTACACTTCCACTTACCCAAGAGCCAAATCCATATTTCAGGATTCGAACCCTTGACGCAGCAGCCTCAAGCAAAGCTGGATTTCTCCACCATCCCCTTTTACCACTTGGAGATGTGCCATGGGAGCTAATTGGTATTACTTTTTAGTTTCATTTTTGGTGGTGGATTTAGCTTAAGTAGTAAAAATGAAGTCATATCAGATTCATGACCTAGCTTCGATCGAGCCTCCTCTTACAAAAATGATGAAATCCCTTGTTTCCTTAGGGAAGAAAAAAAATAAAAAATTGTGCGAGATTTGAGAGGCCAAGCGCATGAAATTTGGCTATTTTCTAATGAAAACGTGAATTACTAATCAAAAGATTTTGTCTTAAGATTCGTATCAGCATGTTAATTCCCACACAAAAAGAGGTCAATGCGATTTTAGAAAAAAAACGTTTAATGTGACTTTCTAAAAAACCAACTTTTCCCAACTCTTATTTCTCGTATTTAATATATCGTTAATTTATAATTATAATTTTTCTTATTTAAATCATATTTCATAAAACACGAGTCACTGTTTTTGCCAATATACAAATCAGTGGTTTCAAAAGGAATAATTGAATAAATAATAATATAAAACATATAGATTTGCTTGGTTTGTGTGGTCACTTTATATTGATTTTTGAGTCCCAAAATTAAGTTTTCTTTATTTAACTTTAATTTTTTTTTCATTTTTTCTTGCATGTTTATAGTGTGTTATAAACAAATAAATGTTTTCTTTAGTTTAAATATTTATTAATAAATCAAATCGAAACAAACAGTTTTTAATCAAATAATCAATATAAATTAAGCTAAAGGTCACATCAATTTTATATTTTTTAAAAAGTACATATACCATAAGAGATTACAATTTTTTTTTTTTTTTTTTAGTCCCAATATTAAGTTTCTATTGTAAATGGTAAGTTTATTAGGGTTTGTTAGTGAATTACAATTTTACCCCTGCAACCATAGAAATTATTATCATTATATCCCTAATTCCTATCTATAAATATAGGGCTCTGATTTTTAATAAAATACAAGTTTATTGATTTCTCTCTATTTTCTTCTCCTTTCTTCTATTTTCATAGCACGTTATCAGTACGATTCTCTCAAAAGTAAAGTAAATTAGTTAGAAAGTAATAATTTTTATAAGTACAATTATCTGGCACGTGTAGCAAAATTAGTTTGGTAACATGTGAAATATTTTGATGTACATATGCATCGAAACGAGGTTGCTTCTTCTTCTTCTTCTTCTTCTTCTTCTTCTTCTTCTTCATTTTTCATTGTATGCATATTAATTCTAATTCACGTTTATATGTGTAATCTGATCACATTAATTCATGCTTTTTGATTTATACACAATCATTTTTGCTACATATTATTAACGTATTAATTCTATTTTTTGAATCTTCCACATATTAGTTCAACCTTTAATTTTATATATGTGGAATTCACATGCATGTTTAGTATTTTCTACATGTTGCTAAAAAATTTAGCCAATAAAAGATTTAGCCCTTGTTTGAACCCCATTCTTTTGGAAAAATTCATTTTTCAACAGTGTTTTGACATCATTTCAATCACACATTATTCAATAAAATAATATTACATATAAATTCAAAACTTTTTTCTTTATTTTTTAACCACACATTTCCCATCAATACACTATTCAAAAATTCATTCTTCCCCAAAAAATGGGGCTCAAACAAGGGCTTAGTCAATTTTGTTAACTTCATATATATGGAGATTTTTTTCTTAATGTGTGTGCGGTAATTAATTTTTATAAGTAAATCAATATCCAATTTATATGGTAATTAATATTCTTTAATCTGATTAAATATTTGTAGATGTTTTTTCATAAATTTTAAATTGATAATGTATAATGTTGTTGCTCATGAAATAGTACAACATTAATAATATTATAAAAGAATATTAGTTGTTTATGAAGAGCATGATATTATAATTTCATTATTTCAGAAGAATATTACCTCAATGCTCCTGAAGAAGCATAATTTAAATTATATTTAAACGAATATGATGTTGATGTTCTTGAAGAAAAACAACACACGTTATATAAATATTTCAGAAGAATATCTTATTATTACTTATGAAGGGCACAAATTTCATCGAAAGGTAGAACAAACCATTAATGTCAATATTTTAGAAGAATATTGCATCTATACTCTTGAAAATTATATGTTTCGCTGTGTTCTTGAAGAAAGCACAGCTTAATTTAAAAAAAAATGTGTTGGTGTTCTTGAAAAAACACAACGTTATTAATATTTTTAAAAAGAATATGCTATTATAATTTCAATATTTTTGAAGAATATTGATGGTTCTATGTAAAATCACGAATTAAAATACTTTATTAATTTACACGTCCACTCTTTTGCATACATATTTAGATATTGACGTTCTGGTTAAATTTTATTGTTTTTAAAGAGCATAATGATATAAAATTTAACATAAAATTATGTTTTTACTCCCGAAGAGTAAATTCTTACATAATTATTATCAACAATTCATCTTCATAGAATTCCACTAGACGACCGCATCTGGTTCGTCAATATGTTTTTTTCTCTTTTTTCATTATTCGACATATTGCTGCCAAGTGTCTTTTGGTAAAATTATGGCAGGTAAATTCTGTACGTGTAGCAATCTCACTTATTATTGGAAATAATAATATATTATTACTCCTAAAGAGCATAACATTAAAATTCTCCACATTTCAAAAGAATATGGATTTATTGTTCTTGAAAAATCAATAGTAAAATATAATATGATCACAACTCACAAGATAGTACATTATAATTTTCATTAATATTCTTGTTAGATTTTATTTGCTCTCGAAGAGCATAATTACATACAATATAACATAAATTTTATTTTTACTCCTTAAGAGTAAATTCTTATATAATTTATTGTAATAATATTTGATTGCTCATGAAAAGATTTAATTATAATTTTAAATATTTTGGTTGGAAGAATATTGACATATTGATGTTGAAAAAATAATAATAAAATGTAGCGTACTCTCGAAATAGTATACATATCGAAGAATTATATTTCAATGTGTTCATGAAAAAACACAAAAATTACATATTTATCCCTAAAGGAAATCATACAATCTTTGTCATGTGAACTTTAATTTTTATATGATATACTATAGTTAATCATGCTTTTAAGAATCAACTATGTCTTTTATTTGATTAAATAGTTATTTAAATTTGAAACATTGTATTGAACCAAAAGTTCAATTATTTGGCATGACCAGTTTGACCATCATCAGATCAATAATGATGTGAAATTAAAAAATTCAAAATAGATATTCAATAAAGAGCCAGAAGATTCATCAATTCAATTAATTCCTATATATAATTTGATCTTTTTATCGACAATTAATTATTAGACATCATTGGCTAATATAGGGATTGAATTTCCTATATTTTTGAAAATTAATAAGGGTAATATATGGTGTCATGTCACTCACCATGTCGATCATATAAACATTATTTATATCTAATAGATTTGATACATATACTAGATGATTGTATGATGTTCGCACCTTGAAGTTTATGAAATTATTGCTCAAATTTTAAATATTTTGAGCATAATTTTCAATTATATAATAAATATCGT